CGCCGCTAGTCAGGCAGAACGTAGCTTCGTTTTTGAGGATGATTCTCCACTCACTGTACGAAAGAAACCGCTGGCCTTGTTGCTGCCCACAGCCAAACTCGACATGCAGGAACTTGACACTCTAGAGGGTCTCTTAAAGGAAGATCCGGCCTCGCGGGTGCTGAAATCCCCAAGAGCACCCGCCATCCTCCCCAAATCGCTTTCAAAACCCTTTACTTTCCTCCCGGCGGTCCCAGCAAGCTCTCCAAAACTCTCATTGGATAAGGAGAATATCGATCTATTCGATGGCCTTGTTCACGCTCCTGCGCTGTGTGCACAGCCAAAGAACAAGCAGAAGGACTTGCCTACTTCCTCAACCCCCTCTTCGCCGCCAGCATCAGCCACTCGGAAGTGTAAGGTGGAAAAGGAGCCAGGTCTGGTGTCGCCTTCTCTGTCTTACACGTCTGACAACTCTTTGGTCGGTGCCGCTCTCAGTGATTGGTCAGGCACTTCAAACGATGGGTACTATGTCCATTTCCATTCTATCATTTTTATGCTTACGGCTTCTGTGCATGTTAAGTTGAAGACTCGGAGAACTCACTGCATGCTTAAGTTTTACACCAAGGCCCCCCGTACTCCTGATGATCTAGCGTTAGATTAAAGGAAGGTCATATTACTGTATCTTAACCTCAACCCTAACGCTGACCCTCCCAACACTAACCCTTACCCTAGCCTCGTAGAATTTATGCAAGGTCACCTCTAATACAGGGAGCACTTATAACCCTGTTCTATCGGTATCCCCTCCCTTCTTCCATCCGGTCAGCTGGTTTTTGCATTATTACTCACCGATACAAAGCAGTTCTTAGTATCTAAAGAACTAGTCTAGGTCATGCTTTTCCGCTTCGATTTTTAGCGGGATAATCCTACCTTTATCCGAGTGAACGATTCGAAATCTTCATTGATTGGTGATAGTTGCATGCCTGTAATCCTACTTATTGTAGCCTCTGTCTTCCAATTATGCATATATTAACGTCGCAGACACCCGAATTGAGATTCCTTTAGGCTGCACTGACCAGCAACTT